AAAAAAAAAAAAAAAAAAAAAAAAAAAAATTACGTGCTGAAAATCAATTTAAAATACCGTGAATAAATTAAAATATATGGACACGAATTAATGTGCTTTTAATTTATAGCAGCTTAGATAAAATATAAAAAATATAAATAATAATAGTAACTTTAAGTTACCTTAAATATTATTAAATTTAAACTTACATGTATTTTTATTTGCTCATTCAATAATTTAAATTTCTGTACTTCTAGTAAAAAAAAAAAATACTTATATCAGGAAAAGTTATATATTTTTAAATTAATAAAAAAAAAAAAAAGCTTAATTTTTCATATTTAAAATTTATACATTTACATATATATTTAAATATATTATACATATATATATATATATATATATATTCGTAATTAAATGAAAAAATATTTAAAGCTCAGAAAAAAAAAAAGAAATATATTAACATATTTTGTATTTTATGCGTATATGCAATGAATAAAGAAATGTATATAAATAATTTTTTTTTTCTTTATATTTAATAAATAAAAAAAAGTTTAACTTTTTTACACTGATGCAAATGTAACAATATTCTAGAAAAAAAAAAATTAATAAATAAATAATAATAAAGAGATACATATAATATTAAAAATTATAAATTATTATAATTTTATTTTGTATTAATGATTATTTGTATATGCTTATATTTATAATATAAAAAAAATTATTGAAACATATACGTAAATACAAATCTAAGGAATATATTTTTATAAATACTTCATATCGTTTTTTTTTTTTTTTTTTTTTTTTTTATATTTCCTGGGTTTTACCTTTTAAAATTTTTAATTTTCTTACAATTTTTATTTTACTTTTTTTTTTTTTTTTTTTTGATAATTCTTTTTTTTATATTTTTTAATATATATTGTATTATATTTATTTTTATTATATTTTTATATTTGTATTTTTATTAACATAACAATTTAACAAGTAATTGTAAATAATATAACGTAATTCATTTCAAAATGGCAACTACTGAGAATAATCAAGTAATTAAAGAATCTTTAAAAAATATATTTTGTGATTTTATTCAAGATACATATGATTCTTAATACATTATTATACTTTTAAAATAAATGTGTAATTAATTTTTAATTTTGTACCTTTTATGTACCAAATTTTGATTTTATTCTTCATTTTTTATTTTGGGAATTATTATATTTGTATGTTTATATGCTTTTTTTCTCTTTTAATTTTTGATATCTTATCTAATTTGATGTTTTTTTTTTTTTTTTTTTTTTTTTTTTTTTTTTTTTTTTTTTTTTTTTTCTTATTATATACATTTTTTAATAATTTATCTTAATCACCAAATTTATTGCATATATATATATAGTATATTTCCTTTTTATTTGTATAATATATATATATATATATTAATTTTTTTTAGCCAATACCAGCTGAAGAGGAAAAAGAAATTTCTTCACTTTTAGAAAGCATAAAAATAGGTAAAAAAAAAAAAAATAAAAATATATCATGATTATTCATTATAGTAATATATTTGTACATTAATGTATATTTATAAATTAAAAGAATAAGATTATTTTTTATGAATATATAATCTGAATATTTATTGAAGTTGATATAATATAATATTAATATCCACATATATATATATGTCTTGCTAATTTTAGGATTTTCAAATAATTTGTAAATACATGTTTTGATAATTTTTCGATTTCTTTTTTTTCTTTTTTAAGATGATGAAAAAATGACTGATTTAACAGAAGAACAAAAGGAGACATTAAAAAAATTGAAACTATATCAAAAAGAATATTATGATTATGAATCTAAATTTGAATATGAATTATTTTTATTAAGGCAAAAATATCATGACTTATATGATCCAATTTATGACAAAAGAAGAGAAGCTTTAGTAGGAAATGGGGAAGCAAAAATAGGAACCCCCAATTTACCTGAATTTTGGTTAAGAGCTTTAAGAAATAATAATACAGTAAATCATGTAATTGAAGATCATGATGAAGAGATTTTAGTTTATTTAAATGATATAAGATGTGATTATATAAAAAAGAATAAAGAAAAAAAAGAAGGATTTATTTTATCATTTCATTTTGCTCCAAACCCATTTTTTAGTAATACTGTTTTAACAAAAACATATCATATGAAATGTGTTGATTGTGATAATGAGCCAGTTTTGTTACATACCGAAGCAACTGTTATTGATTGGTATGATAATAAAAATATTTTAAAAAAAAATGTAGTAAAAAAGCAACATAATAAAAATTCAAGAGAAGTGAAAACAGTTCAGCAAACAGTTAATAGAGATAGCTTTTTTCATTTTTTTACAAGTCATAAAGTTCCTAACTCTAATGTAATAAAACAACTAAGTAAACATGAAGTAGCTCAACTAGAAATGATTATAGAAGGAGATTATGAAGTTGCCTTAACTATTAAGGAAAGAATTATTCCATATGCTGTTGATTATTATTTAGGGATTATTATTGAAAGTGAAAGTAATAGTATCGTTAGTGATGTTGATAGTAGTTATAGCAGTAGTGAAAATAATAGCAATTATAATAGTTATGAAAGTAATAATAGTGCATATAATGATGAAAATAGTAATGTTGATACTAATGAATATGATGATAACGAAGAGGATGATGAAGAGGGAGCAAAAAGCAATGAAGAGCCACTTACATCATAATGTTAAAATACTGTGTGTATACTATCTTATATATATTTGTATGTATTTTCATATTTACCTATTTTTATTGTAGAAAAAAAAAAAAAAATTAAAAATATTTCATTATTCTTAATTAAAAAAAAAAAAAAAATATATTCAGAAAAAAAAAAAAAAAACCAAATATATTAAAAAAAAAAAAAAAAAAAATATATTTAAAAAAAAAAAAAATAGCTGTATATATATATATATATACATATATATATATGCATACATATGTTTATAAATTTATTCTGAATAAAAACACGCATAGTATGAAATTTTTTTTTTTATTAATTAATTCCCAAAGAAACAAAGATAAAAGCAGAAATGAAAATAAAAAATAAAAGAAATTATTAAAATATTTAGTTTATATGGATATTTTTTTTTCCTAATAATTTTACATATCAGTAATTTTACCTTAAATACCTTTTTTTCTTCAATTTTTTTATTGAGTAAAATGAAAAAACACTTCAACATGGCACTTGAATTTTTATATTTATATATTGTTGATAATATATGTTATTTTATTTATAATAGATTATATACAATTTTTTAATTCTTTTATCATATATATATTTATATATATATATATATATATATTTTAATAAGTTTATTTTTTCTTTAATAAAAATATATGTATTACACTTTTATAAATCTGTTAAATTATGAACGAAATTATTCAAGTTAATTTTTTGAAAAATTTCATTATATAATTTAAAAATTGAGTAATAAAAACTTGTATTGCAATATTATAATTTTTAAATTAAAAAAAAAAATGTAATAAAAGATTATTAATTTCTGTATTTTTTATTTAAATAATAAAGTTTTAATTTGATAAGATTCAAAAAATAAGTTATAAAAATTAATTATAGTATGTCTTTCACTCAAAAAACAATAGGGTTTAATATTAAAATTTCACCCTTATGAAATTTATAAAGAAAATAAAATTTTAAATAAATATTTTATATAATAAAATTTCTGATTATATAGAGCTTATACTTTTGTTTTTTAACAGTATACATATTTTTAAATATCTTTTTTTTATTGTTGTCCCTTTTAGAAATAATAATATAAAAAATAATATGTTTGTATATAAAATTTCAGAATGTTAGTAAAACATAAATTTGCAAATTTTTAAATAGAAAACTTTAATATTGTCTATCGCGTTTTTATAGTTTAATTGTGGTCTTACATCAATATAAATTGAAACTGGTGAATTGTTATCATTCTTTCCATCATAATAGTCTATTATATACCTTTGATAAAAAAAAAAAAAGTAAAATAAATATACAAATTAAAATTATTATAAAATTATGCAAAAATTAAGTACATGAACTTTTAATTATTAAACTTTATTAATAAATGATTTTATTTCGTTATATATAACTTTATAATTTAATTTATATTTATTATTATCTTTATGATTATTTTATTTTATTTATTTTTTTTTTTTTACTTAATTGTTTTTCCACATCTATCTATATACCAATCGTGTCTATCGAATGGTTTGTTGTATCCAAGTAAAGTTAATAGAAATGCTTTAAATGACAATTTTGTAGGATTTCCTACAAATCTTACTAATTTTTGTTCTTTACATAAATCAAAATATTTTTCTTCTTTTTTCATAATTTTCTTCCATGTTTCTTCATTAACAGCATTGTGAATTTTTAAGGCCATATCTAATTCTTCCCTAGAAAATGAATAACCTATACAATATTTTAAAATCAAAATTTTTACTCAGAAAGAAGAAAAATATGTTTAATATGTATGCATATATTTCTTAATGTATTTTTCATAAAAAAAAAAAATAGGTAAAGAGAAAAAAACTTTTTTTTTTTTTTTTTTTGTAACCTTTTTTTCTTGTTGTATTATAAAATTGATTTTTAGATGGATAATACCAACTACCACTAGTTGATGGTATGGAAGATTTTTCTTTTAAGTTATTTGATACTTTTTTTTCTTCATGCATTTTATACTTTAATTATTTATTATTTTATTTGTTTTTTTTATATTCATTTGTTATCATAATAACAAAAAGCTATTAATTTTAATATGAATTAATTTATATTTTGTTTTTAAAAGTGCATTTTTTCTCTTTTCTTTTTAAATATACTTAATATATGGTTCAGTCTTCTATTATTACCATTTATTCATTTTTTTTTTTTTCTATATTTGAAAGAAATTAAAAATAAAAAATTTTGTATTGTAATGAAATATATTTTATAGTTTGTTTTTTTTATTTTTTTTTTTTTTTGATAAGAAATTTTTTATTAAAAAGCATATCCATTTATATATTTACTTCTGTGGAATAAATTATTCTTAATATATTTAAATATTTAATAAAACTAATTTAATAATTTCATTAAATATACTTTAATTTTGTAAAAAAGAAGATTATAAAATATATTTTTTTTAAATTAAAATTGCATAATGGAGATTAAATCTTTAAAAAAAAAAAAAATATAAAATTATTAATTTATAGAGTAAAGCCTCTGATTTTTTTGAAATGATTTAATAAATTAGATATAATTATTAAGTAGAAAATAATTTTTTAAAAATATTCAATGTAGATGTATCTATGCTCAATAATTCGAATATTGTTCTAATTATTTAATTTTTTTTTTTTTTTTTTTTTATGCTAAAAACATTTGAGATTAATATTAATTAAAATCACTTTAATATAATGATAATGATTATAAAATGGCAAAAATAATAGAAGGATTAGATTTGTTAAATAATGATGATATTAAAAAGAAACTGAAACAACATATAGATAAAAATCATCTTATTGGGTTTCCAACAGAAACAGTATATGGTTTAGGAGGTAATTCATTAAATGAGGATTCTTTAAAAAATATTTTTAAAATGAAAAATAGGCCAGTAAGTGATCCAATTATATCCCATGTATGTGATATATCACAAGCTTTTGAACAATTATATCATGTTAATATTTTTGAAAAATATATTATTTATATATTGAATAAAAAATTTTGGCCAGGACCATTATCAATTATAGCCAAAGCAAAAAAAAATGTTCCATTAATATTAACAGCTCATACAAAATTTTGCGCTGTAAGGTTACCTAACAACCTGATTGCAAGGGAAATTATAAAAATCTGTGAAACTCCTATTGCTGCTCCATCAGCAAATAAATTTCAACATATTAGTCCAACTACGTCTCTTCATGTTTTTGAGGAATTTAAAAATGAGAATATACTAATTTTTGACGATGGACAATGTGATGTTGGGATAGAATCAACTGTTATAAAAATTACAAAATTTAAAAAAAAAAAAAACGTAAACTCAGAAAAAATTCATAAGAATATTGATAATGAAATAAATGATATACAAGAAAAAAATATTTTGTGCAATACTATCTCTGATGACCTTAATTTTAAAAAAAATGATGAACATGATCATAATTATTCTGAGGATGAAATTACAACAGATGATGAATATGATAATGAGTATAAAGAGGAACTGAAAGTTTTGTGCCAATTAACAAACTCCAATAACTCTGATTCAAATAAAGAAATGTACATGAAATTAAAAAGTATATTTGAAAATATTGAGAGTGATAAAAAGATACCAGATTATATACTTCAACAAATTTTAAAATATAAAAGATTATACAATTACAAAATTATAATATACAGAAGAGGTAAATATACTAAAAACGATATTGAAGAAGTTCTGAAAAGTAACAAACTTTTAGAAAATATTGAAGTTGACTTGTATAAGAAAATAAAATTTGAAGATCTTGATATATTTCAAAAAGAAAGTAAAAGTCAGAACAACCCTAATTTTAAAATAATTGATAAAAATAATGATATAAAAAATGAAAACACAAATAATCAAAGACATACAAATTTTTTACAAAAAACTGAAGATACAAATCTTGAAAAAAATGAGGTTAGTCCTGGCCTTTTAATAACTCATTATAGTCCTTTTGTTTCGACATATTTAATTGATATAATTTTAAAAATAGAAAATTATAATGTGAACAATAATTTGTCAAATATTCAATTGAATAAATGCATATTTTTAGATATAGGAAACTCTTTTATTGATTATCAAAATAATTTTTTAAAATATATAAATATATATTATGATAATTTACCTAAGGAAGAACAAATAAAATATGTAACAAAAAATTTTTTTTTATTTTTAAGAAAAGCAGAAACATTAGCTATAAATAATAAAGCTGAAAATATTCTTATATCAGTAGTTAATTTGAAATTATGTGATGAAATATATTTATCAATATTTGACAGAATTTTTAGATCAGCTTCTGGGAAAATTTTAAAAGCATATATTAACAATGATAAATTTCAAATTTTTAATAATTAAAAAAGGAAGACCATGTATTTAGAAAATTTTTTTTTTTTTTTTTTTTCTTATTAGTTGAATTTTTGTATAAGAAAATAATATTTTTGTGAATTTAAGTTTATTATTAAAAAAATAAAATAAAACTATAAAATAAGACAATAAAATTACTTAATATTACTTTAAGAAGAGTGTGAATAGATTAATAAAATTTTTTTTTTAAACATAATTATATAGTAAAATATATTTTATTATTTTTTTTTTTTTTTTTTATATTAATATAGACATTTTTTATCCTAAATAAAAACAAAGAAATTGAAACATTAACAAAATTATTAAATCAATTTATATATTCTAAAATATTTATATATTGAAAAAAATACTTATTTAATATTTTTAAAATGTATTATATTATTTAAAAGAAAAAAGGAATAAAAAGAAGTAATTTTATAAAAATATATTAAAAATTCATAAATTAATAGAAAATATATTAAAACAAAAAAGTACAATTTACTTAAGAATATATTAATATAGATTTTTAAAAAAATGGCATATATATATATAATGTTACAATATATTGTATTTATAGAAAACACAATTAAATAAAAACTATATTATAATATCTATACATTTATATTAAAAAAAAAAAAAAAAAAAAAAAAAAAAAAAAAAAAATAAAAAATTT